TGGAGGAAGTTCAATTTACAATTTTTTGTATCCAAGTCAAGAGCTCCTCCCGGATGATAAAGAGATGACCATATTTGATCATCTGGAAGAGCTCCGTCAGCGAATTTTTATATCAGTTGTAGCGGTTGGAGTTTCTATGGTGGGGTGCTTTGCATATTCGAAAGACCTTATAGTATTTCTCGAAGCTCCGGTTAAAGAACAAGGTGTAAAGTTCCTGCAGCTAGCTCCTGGCGAGTTTTTCTTCACTACCATAAAGGTTAGACTCGGTGAATATCTATCCGGTCTTTGAAATGATTGCTGTTTTTAAGATTTTGTTTTCTGGAAGTACGCAGATCAGCCTGGCTAGCTAGCGCGGAAGGGTAATGGAGCGTTGTAGGGACTATATGATTAGTATTTCCCATAATAATCTCAGTCGGAATGGTTATTTCGGAAGTAAATCACTGTAACAAGAAGGTTCTTTTGATTGTTTACTGCAGGTATCAGGATATTGCGGCCTTCTCTTAGGGAGCCCCATCATTCTGTATGAGCTTATAGCCTTTGTTCTTCCAGGATTAACGAGAGACGAGAGAAAATTTCTGGGGCCAATTGTTTTAGGCTCATCGGTTCTTTTCTATGCTGGTATCACCTTCTCCTATATGGTGTTGACACCCGCAGCCTTGAACTTCTTTGTCTCGTATGCAGAAGGTGTTGTGGAATCTTTATGGTCCATCGATCAATACTTTGAGTTCGTACTTGTTCTCATGTTCAGCACAGGCTTGTCTTTCCAGGTAACGCTCTCCTCTCAAATATAACAGGGAAGTTACAGTTGGTTTGTGCCCGTAAAATGCATACATCGAAGTGGATCTCTCAGTAGAAGCTCTGTTAACAAATTTCCTTTCATCTTTTTCTAGGTTCCGGTTATACAATTTCTCCTGGGACAAGTCGGTCTAGTATCTGGAGACCAAATGCTGTCAATTTGGAGGTATGTCGTGGTTGGTGCCGTTGTGGCAGCTGCTGTGGTTACACCGTCAACAGATCCACTCACTCAGGTCCTTCTGGCAGCACCCCTCCTCGGTCTTTACTTGGGGGGTGCCTGGGTGGTTAAGCTTACAGGCCGGTGAACCCTATTAAACGCATGAAATTTGTTCGCAGGATTGTGCATACTCAGGATTTGTAAGAATCTTGTACATTTGCAACATGATGTACCATAAATCTGATCTACGGAACGAGGGTGAATAACCCCCCATATCCATTTATCTGAAATGTTGTTCAGTGTTGCATACAAATGTTGAAAGAACCATTTTCTTCTCGAAAACAAAAAGACTTACAAAGCTCTGCAAAATCAATTTCATCTCTCTCTCTCTCTCTTGCCTAACAGTTCATATCAATATTCTGCACACTGGTTTCTAAATCAACAATACTAGGTGAGGCTGCTGCAGATTCGAGCTGTCTCAGTGAACTCTTCAAACAATCGCATGCTTGACAAAAAGCTTCCAGATTTCCTGTAAGATTCTGTAATTCAGATTGTATATCATCAACAAAACTGGAAATTTTCTCTGATGCTGCCTTGATAGCGGGAACCTCTTGCGGGGGGTATAAACAAGCTCCAAGCTCGTCTATTTGTATTCCGATTTCTCTACACATTTTCAACAATTTCTCCAAGGATTCCACAAGATTCCCGCTGCCATTGGGGTTTTCCAGTTTAAGCAAACCACTGATGGTGCGAATTAGTTCCTTTATCACTACAAGAGCCTCTGACACAACGGCAATTGCCAACTGGGAAACTCTCATCTCTTCAGGGGACAAGTCATTGCCCAGATCACCATCACTTAAAATTTCATCATCATCGGGTTCAATCGCTGCTTCAGTAGAAGGCTCAATAGAGGATTCATCAGTCGGGTCTGAGGAAGCTGGCTTAAGCTCCTTCATCTCACGAAGAACATCTTTCACCGAAACTGCAACCTTTGTCATTGCTCGCCCAATTGCTGTAATATTTGTGGCAGGTGTCATTTTAAGAGCAGAACAGGCTTCCCATACTGCACCGATCCATTGTGGAATTGAGAGTTTCCCGTCAGTATTCCGTGCTCCTGCAAGTGTATATTCCAAGTGAAGACAAGGTTCCTACTAGCCATGGTAGTTGTCAAATCTTTAGCCAAGATAGTTGCACTTCCAACTCATAATATGCAATCAAATAGGCTCTAATGGTTATTAAACAGTATTACCCTCCGGAAATTTATGTCAATGTCCTACACAAAAGCTAACCTCTAGAAGCTGATGTTCACTGTCATTTTGAAGTCATGCACCAAGGACCATGTATGTATGTGTTCAACAAAAATACAGGCATGGATTGACCAAGAAATAATGCTACACAAATATTGCTTTGTTTGGAGTAGAGAGAGACAGAGAGAGAGAGATTACCATACAAAGAGATAGATTCCTTCCACAGCTTAAAACTGATGTCAACAACTTGCTTTACAGACGTATGGACACAAGAAGCCAGCGTAGGCCCTGCACCAACTGTACTCCCATGCGAAAGCAGAAGAAAACCTTGCAGGGTATTGAAGTAGGAAACCATGTTTTCTTCAAGTGCTCTAACTTGCGGCGTTTCTCCTCCGGTCCAAAGCATTCCAACTGCATTATCAAGTCACACTTAGTCACTTGAGCATCAGGCATCGCGCAGCAAAGTAGAAGAACAAACTATACGACTGAATTGCAAATCGAAACATAGACAAAAAACCATAAAAGTCGGATCTCCGTCACGCCATTTTTCTCCGAATACAGTCGCCCAAGGCACATTGGAGAAAATGGAAATTTTGTTAAGTTAAAAGAAACATATTTGTAAATTCCAGATAGCTCAAATCAGAATTCCTTCAATAAATATTCCAGATTTGCAATTCGAATGAACACGTTTTCGAATTAACATGCCAAGGTATAAGTGGTGGGCACAAATGACTAAAATTATTAATAAAAATATAAAATAAAAGCAAGGGGGCTTACAAATGGTAGCTTGTTTATAGACTTGATCGCCCATCTTTATCACCTCCGCCCAGCTCACCTTCTCAAGCGTTGAAGGTGCGGTTTGATCCAACACCTGATTTCATCCAATCCAAAAAAATTAAAATAAAATAAAAATATTAAAAAAATAATAATAATAATTGAATTTCTAGAGAGAGTGGGATTTAACCTGGAAGGTCTTGTGGACGGTGTTGAGGTGGTGGTTGAGAGTTCGAGTCAGTTGCTCTCTTTCGGCTCGGCCCATCGCCCGGCGTTCGACGGAAGGAATTGCAGCTGCGGCAGCGGGTTCTCAAAGTTTTCAGAGGTTTTTCGAGGTTTTGTGAAGGGGAAATCTTCTGCCGCCAAGTGCCTATAGGGTAACGCGATTAGCAGCCAATTCAGCTAAACGACGACGTCTCCCCTTCGTATAAAGTTATGGTAATGAGCTTTTTTTTTCTTTTTCTTTTTTTTTTTTTTTTGTTATATATATAGGTAACAATTAGAAAGATCACCTTTGTTAAGGACGTGAGAGAAGCAGATGTAAAATATCATATTGTTTAGTTTTGTAACTATAATACAAAAGAATTGCAGGTAAAAAGAGGACGGGAGAGATACTGGTATTATTACTTTCACTTCTTTTTTTTGTTGTGTATTGTAATCACACACGGAATGCTCCGCATCTGTGACAAACCAAAACGTGAAATGATTACCCTTTTTGAAAACATCACACAATAACAATTACACTACTAATGCCCTTTTGAAAACATTAAATAACAACAATTACACTACTGTTCTTAAGTCTTCCTCAATTAAAGCATGTGGGCATTCATTCTCATAAGTTTACAACATTTTTGTTTTTGTTTTTATTTTCCAAAATATAGGAAAGTAAGAAAACATCCCCTTTCCTCTTTTTTTTTTTTTTTTTCATTTTTCTTTTTGGTATATAATCATCACTGCCTAACATCCCCTCCCCTCTTAAACCTAAAGGAAATAGGAAATAAAACCCATCCCAAGGAGAAAGAGATTTTCTCTAATATATCATTGAACTTTGAATGTGTGTGTATATACATATCACGCTACAAGCAACAAGATTTCCTCACAATAATATTCAGAGAAATCTGAGAGCACCACCACCACTCTCTTGTAGCTTTCCCGCACAGAACGGCAGTGCATTCAAGAGATGGAAGCACAAATTTCCGAACATGAGCGTATAACTTAAGTACGTGTGGATGTTCAAGCTATAGAAACGAGCTTGAGTGGGAGCTTGATTTGTCGGGATGGACCTTGCGGATTCTCAGATGCTAAAACTAGTTCCAAAGATGCACGGGAACGCTCGGCATCCCTGCGCAGGCTTATAATAGTGGTTGCACTATGTTTAGTTTTCATGAGCGTGGAAGTTGTTGGGGGTGTCAAGGCCAACAGTCTTGCCATTCTCACCGACGCAGCTCATCTACTGACGGATGTTGCAGCATCTGCAATTTCTTTGTTTATGAAGCCATTGCAAGGCTTATCCATTAGTGCAGGTGAAGTTCAGGGCTCTCTAATGATTCTTGATTCTGCGTTTGGTTTGGTGGTTAACATTAGCATGGCACTATTATTGGGTCATGATCACGGACACGGACACCAACATGATGATCATCACTATGATCATGAGGATCACAATGAGACACATAACCATGGGACTACTGTGACGACGCATCGCTCTCATCATCATGAGGTGCACTGAAATCACGGTGACAAGAACCACCATATAGTTGATGTCACGATACCTCTACTCAAGCATAGCTCTGAAGGTGAAAAGAAACCGAAGCAACAAAACATCAATGTGCAGGGGGCTTATCTTCATGTACTCGGCGATTCCATTCAGAGTATCGGAGTGATGATTGGTGGAGCAATTATATGGTACAAGCCCGTGGAAGATTGTCGATCTGATATGCACCATTGTATTTTCAGTAATGATTTTCTCAACAACAATCCCAATGTTGAGGAACATTTTGGAGGTTCTGATGGAGAGCACTCTTAGAGAGATTGATGCCACAAAGATTGAGAAAGATCTCCGTGGGATGGATGAGGTAGTTGACACTCATGAACTGCACATCTGGGCGAGAACTGTTGGAAAGGTGCTAATGGCTTGCCATGTTATCGTTAAGCCGGATGCTAATGCTGAAATGGTACTGACACAGGTTATAGACTACGTCAAGCGGGGGTATAATATCGGTCATGTAACGATTGAGATAGAGCATCAGTAGAGTTAGAGAGACGATTTGTCAAAGTTTTGAGCTATTTAGTTGGGTCATTTTGTGTTTTAAGACTTAATTTTCCTCCCATAGTTAGAAATATCATTTGTTATCTCTTTGGTTTGCTCTTTTATATATGTTTTTAACGTAAGACTTTACGTTTGTCGACATACTAAATTATAGTTATTTGTGATTTCTTTTATGCAAAGGATATTCTACTTTAAAGTAATCTGAACGATGACTAATGTCGCTACGCCCATATTTGCAATGTTACCCAAATTTCACAAACTTGTGTGTTTACATAAGAATCGTATTTAGGTCAAACCTTCACGATTGTGCTATCATGCCTAAGAATGCCGCTATCCTACTAAAGAACTTTCCAAAAATATCCTCTCCCTTGCCTTACTTGCCTGCAATATCAAAGACAACCAAGGAGAAATCAGGAAAAAGAATCACATAAATTTGTGAAGAAGAAATCACAAACAGGGAATTCCAAATTTAAATATTCGACGTCGATACAGTCCTTTTTAAGATCACAAAATGTCTTCCCTTTCTCTTTTGAATTTACCTTTTCTTCCCAGTTTGTACAACCTGTTATGACAGAGTAAAGAGCTGCCTGCAGAAATGAACCGACTTGTATTCCAATCCAGAGCCCCTTTCCTCTTAAATCTAACCAGAAGCACAATGTGGCTGCAACCGGAATCCCAAACAGATAGTACGCGCCGAGGTTGACAAACATTGCCAAGTCCTGCCACCCACATCCCCTAGCAATACCTGATCATTTGGATTTAAATACGTTACAAAAAAAGCTTTGGGCTGCGCAGAAATTACGACATTGAAGATGCATAAGCAGAAATGTGGAAGAAATTAATAGAACTAACCAGAAAGAACACCATGTAAGCTGTTGGATATAACTGCTAGGCAAATCAGAGGAGCCATGGAAGTGACATAGTCCACAACTTCCTTGTCATTGCTGAAAATGTAGCCAAAAATAGAACGGGTGGCAAAGACAGTTGTGCTTATAAGAACTGCCTCGGAGACTGTAAGAAACATAACAGCACCAACAGCTAATCGCGCTGCTTGGGGGTTCCCGGCTCCTAATGCATTTGAAACCCTAGTGCTATAACACCCCCATATAAGAAACAAATTATCAGTACACCAAATTAAGAAAACTTATCACAAACGAGATTGGTAAATGTTCGCTATTCAGTATTCATATGTGCCTTGGTACAAAGTACAAACCTTACTGCTGCACCAAGTCCTTCTGGTATTGTATACAACGATGAGATGGTTGCCAAACTGTTCAGAAATGTAACACATTTTATTTACTTGATGAATAAACTTCACTCGTTCAAAGAAATTCGCATAAAATATAAACAAACCAGACAGATAAAACCGAAGTTTCAAGCTCCGGATTTGGTAGAAAACCAGCCAGCAAGGTAAGGAGCTCAAACGACCACCATTCGAGGCTGTAATCGTTGTACGCGAATCACATTATGAGGACTAACGCTAGAAAATAAAACTAGGAAATCTTTACACACTAGAAAGAAGGAGGTTTTATTACCAAATCATTACAGCAGACGGAACAGCAAAGCGCAAGAATTCTCCAATACCTCGAAACAGCTCAAGAGAAATTGGAACCCGAGTACTTGCGCAGGCAGCAGAGTACTTAACGTACAGTAAGAGTAGAATCACATTTAACCAATAGGACGTACCGATGGCCAATGCTGCCCCAAGGTGTCCTTGTCCAGACTTGCACACCATAACCCAACAAAACGGAATGTGGAAACACAGACAGGCAAAAGAGCTCACAAGCAAGGGAATGATCAAGCTTTGCGTCTGAAGGTATTTACAAAGCGGCTGAAGAGCTGCGTAAGCGAAGAGAGCAGGTAAGAGCATCCTCGCAAACTTGCCGGCTCCATGGGATATTTGAGGGTCTTGTCCCAAGAAAACCAGTATGTTTCCCATGTAGATCCACACAAGAGACAGCGGGAGACAAACTAGGAATAGGGAGAAAATGGCAGTGTTTATTTGAAGTCCTAGTTGTTTATACTGTTGAGCTCCATATGCTTGACCAGAGAGAGTTTCCAGTGCACTTGCCATTCCAAACTGTTTGACACGTTCAAATGAGAAAACTTCATCGAGTTCTTAAAGACTGGTATGTTGAATAAGAAGAGTATCCAAGATAACTCTAATGATCCCAAGAAGAAGAAAATAGAGCACTCTTAAAGAAAGCTCACAAAACAAACTAATTAGCAAAGCTTTTCTTATTTAGCTCTAGGCTTTGTTTTTCCTTGGATGATTTACAATGCTTGAGAACTTAGGTATTTATAGCAAACCAAATGATTAAACTAAGATTATTTATTACCACACAAAACACATTAATTGCACCTAATAATTTTTATTCAACCATACCTAACATTGCCTAACTTTCCTTGCCTAACTTTGACATTGATTTTCAACACTCCCCCTCAATGTCAGCTCTCATTCTTTGCACTGTGCTGAGCAGACAGCGAAAATTTTCGAGCTTGCCTGTACTTAAACTTTTTGTGAACAAGTCCGCAACTTGATCATTCGTCTTGACTTGTCTCATCTCAATCTCTTCTTGTAGAACCTTTTCTCTGATAAAGTGGTAGTGCACTTCCACATGCTTAGTTCTTGCATGAAAGACTGGATTTTCCGCCAAGCGAATTGCCGATTGGTTATCACAGTACAATGGTACTGGATAATCTACTGGTTGATGTAGATCACTCATCAACTGTACCAGCCATACATTCTCTTGAGCTGCCATTGCTGCTGCTCTATACTCTGCTTCTGTGGTTGACAAAGATATCGTTGGCTGTCTCTTGCTACACCAAGAGATGGTTCCAGAACCAAGCTTAAACACATACCCAGTTGTTGATCTCCTGGTGTCATGATCTCCCGCATAGTCAGCATCACAGTAACCAACTAACTTGCAGTCTTCACCTTTCTTGTACAAAAGACCATAGTCAATTGTACTCTTCACATATCTCAGTATTCGTCGAACTGCTTCCAAGTGAGGCTTCTTTGGATTTTGCATGTACCGACTCATCACACCAACTGCATAAGAAATGTCAGGTCGAGTCAAGGTTAAGTAGATCAGACTACCTACCAATTGTCGATACATCGTCGCATCTTCCAAATCTTTTCCTTCATGTGCACTCATTTTGACATTTGGCTCCATCGGCGTAGAGATCAGCTTGCATTCGAGCATTCCGAACCTCTTCAATAAATCTTTGGAATACTTCTGTTGACAGAGAAATATTCCTTCTTGTGTGCGATCAACCTCTAGACCAAGGAAGTGCTTGAGTTGGCCAAGTTCCTTCATCTGGAAACGGACTGATAAATTCTCCTTCGTCCGAAGAATTTCTGCCTCATCATCACCGGTTATGATCAAGTCATCCACATATACTAGCACGATAGCTAGCTTTCCTTCATTGGCTTTGACAAACAAGCTGGAATCTGCAGGTGTTACTGAATAACCACTTTGTGTTAGAAACTCTGCAATCTTACCGTACCATGCTCTTGGTGCTTGTTTCAAACCGTAGAGTGCTTTCCTTAACTTGCACACGTACTCAGGATGAGCTTCGCTTTTAAAGCCCATTGGCTGCATCATGTAGATCTCCCGATCTAGCTCTCCATGAAGAAAAGCATTCTTTACATCCATCTGCCACAGATTCCAATTTTTGTTAGCTGCAAGTGCAAGTAGGACTCGTACGGTTGTAAGCTTTGCTACTGGACTAAACGTTTCATCATAGTCTAGTCCATATTGCTGAGAGAAGTCTCGAGCCACCAACCGAGCCTTGTACCTTTCAACTGAACCATCAGGACGACGCTTTATCTTGTACACCCATTTGCAGGATATGGGTTTCACATCCCTTGGCTTTGGCACGAGATCCCAAGTCTGATTTTGCTGAAGTGCATCAAGCTCTTCTTTCATAGCTGTCATCCACTCAGAACTCTGCGATGCTTCTTCGAACGTCTCAGGTTCTGTTGCAGTTGTTTCTTCAATTATGGCTGCATTGGCGTATTTAGGATTTGGCTTTCGTACTCTTGTTGACCTTCTTAGTTGTGCTTGTGGAGTTGATACCTCCACTTCACTAGGTCTAACTTCTTGTGGTTGTTGGTACACACCTGTTTGCCAAGGACTCTTAGGTACTTCTTGCTCGACATCGTCTCCAGCAAGCAAATCTTCAGGCTCATCTGGACTTGATTGGATTTGGGCAGCTTGGTCTCCCAGTTTCCCTTGCAATGTATCTTCTAAATCTTTTGGGTCGGGCAACGCCTCATTTTCTGAGCACCAACAAGATGATGCTTCTGCATCCCATTCTTCCTCCAGGGCTAGAGACGCAATGACGTCCCAATCATCTTCACTTTTCTTCTCTAAGTTGGCGACGTTACTTTCTGCAGGCCTTTTGAACCAGCAATCCTTCGCCATGTGACCATTCTTTCCACAATTGTAACACTTGCCCTCAAATCTTTTATTATTCTGGGACTGACCACGGTTGCCGTGATACTTCGGAGCTCCCCCTGGCCGAGAACTCCCTCCTCCTTGATGACCTTTTTCCTTGTCACCATTTCTTTTAGATCCACCACCAGCGTACCGCTTGAAGGTGCCTTTGCTTTTGTTGGTGTAGAGCGCTTCCTCTTCACTCTTCAGTGAGACTCCTCCCATTTGCTTGGCCATAGCTTCTTGACTTGCAAGCAAATTTTCAAACTCAACAAGCGATGGTTGTGTTGGCCATCCTTGTATAGCGGCAATGAACCCTCGATATTCGGGTCTCAAACCATGGATAATTATTCTCTTCATCCTGGTTTCCCCAATAGGAGCTGTTGGATCTAATTCTGAAATTTCGCGGCATATCGACTTCACCTTGTGAAAGTACTGGGCAATCGTCATATCGCGTTGTACCATCGATAGCAGCTCATTCTCGAGAAGTTGCAATTTTGTATCGTTCCTCTTCGAAAAGAGTGTAACAAAAGTGTCCCATGCTTCCTTTGGTGTTTTGGCATCCCGAATGTGCTCCAACATTTCTTCTTCAATTGTGGTCTTTAAAGCAAACATCGTTTTGCCTGCTTTAATTTTCCACTTTCGCAAGACGCCGTTAGCATCTTCCGCTGCCGGTTGTGTAACTTCACTACCACCGACAACCTCCCACAAGTCTTGACCTTGAAGGTAAGACTCTATACACGTTGCCCACGTGTTATAGTTTTGGTTGTTGAGCTTCTTGATTCCTCCAACAACTTGAAGATCACCCATCGTATCGGCAAGACTTTGACTACACCGAACAAGCTTGAGTGATTACCGTGCAGAGTAATACACTACTCTCGACACAAAGAAGCTCCCTCTCAAGGTTTGTGATAACCCCAGCAATAATCTCAAGAAACCTTTTCTGATGTGGAAGATCAGTCAAAACTGCAACCACAGAGCATACTCGGAATTTCAAGAGACTTTACAACCAATGCTCTACCAAGAACGATCCCTGACCGACTTGGCTCTGATACCAATTGTTGAATAAGAAGAGTATCCAAGATAACTCTAATGATCCCAAGAAGAAGAAAATAGAGCACTCTTAAAGAAAGCTCACAAAACAAACTAATTAGCAAAGCTTTTCTTATTTAGCTCTAGGCTTTGTTTTTCCTTGGATGATTTACAATGCTTGAGAACTTAGGTATTTATAGCAAACCAAATGATTAAACTAAGATTATTTATTACCACACAAAACACATTAATTGCACCTAATAATTTTTATTCAACCATACCTAACATTGCCTAACTTTCCTTGCCTAACTTTGACATTGATTTTCAACATGGTATAGCTTTGATCATTTTCTGCCCGAGGTAATACACAACTAGAAGAATTTACAGGCAACAGGGATAATGCCTTCGTGGCGGCATTTTAAGACAATCACAAATTACCATGTAGAAAGGTTAACACATATGGTAGTGCGTTATTGGCTTGAGATACGACCACAATGGCTCCCATGTGTCAGTAAGTTTCTCCTAATACACACACACACCCTTGCAAAATTTGGCATTCTGAAAGAGAATTGGGAATTTGTAGGCCACTATTTATAATAAGTCGTATAAAAACAATGGTTCAATATCTCGCTACTGTTTATTTGGTGTCGTTCAGTTCAATTTTCGATTAAAGTTTATAATCGGTTTTATTTTGTGCGTACTTCACTAAACACAAACACTCGCCAAATTTTATAACAAACAAGAGCATAAGGGTATGCTTGAGATTGTTATTAGAAGAGCTATAAGTGTTTTTTGACAAGTAAAAGCACTTCTAACTATGTTTATGGGTAGTAAAAGTACTAACCTGAGAAGCATAACTCGGGTGTTTGTTAAAAAACTATTGGAACTTTTCCACAAAACCACTGGAAACTTAATAAAAATTTTGACACTTATATAATAAAGCACTTATAGCAGGAACACTTTTAACCATAAGTGCTTCCTATAAAAGCAATCCCAAACAACCCTAAATGAGATGATCCAGTTGGCTAAAATAAAGGAAAAAAAAAAAGAGGAAGGGACTTACGAGAAGACTGAAGCCGGAGACGGCGCAGAAGGAGATGGCAATGGCAGTGCTCGAAAGAGAGAGCTGGCCCAGATGACCCACCATCATAATTGAAATTATTTGCAAAAAGTACTGTGACAAATTCACCGCCACCATCGGCGCTGCTATGTACCCCAACCGCTTTACTTCCCCTCCAAAAGCACCGCTTCGTCTCCTCCTCACAAGGCCTTCTCCTTCTCCCTCCTCTTTTATCAACAAAATCTTCTCCATGCTAACTACAACGTTACAACTCTATACATTCTCCACTCAATCATAATATATAGGGAAATTATCTTAGACTTTTCGTGTAGTCTTTATTATCTCATATTTTTAGCACACTATTTTATAAAGTTAGTATGAAAATTTGATAGTTAAATAGTGTTGACAGAAAGTAGCATTTTCTTTCTCTAATTATATTATTTGTTGTTATTATTTGATGGTTAGGACATAATTATTACTTTGATGAAAAAAATTATTTTGATGATAAGGACTAATTATTACCTTGATGAAACAAACGCAATTACTGTTTCGCCTTGGCCTAGGAGGATCTGGTTGGATGTTTTTTGTGAGGATCTTGAGGATTCTTCAACACATCTATTTATTATATAGCGTACGATCAGAAATCATTGTAAATTTTTTATTTAAAATTAAATATAAACAATAACTGATAAAAATTGATCGTTATGATTGGAAAATTTCAGAATCCCCTCTCCGCGTCGGCAACTGGGCGTTTTCATATCGAATTGTCTTTGCTATATACGTGAAGATTTGGAAGTTTCAAGAGTCGCATGGTATTTTGGGCAACGAGGTGAGAATCCACGCGTCCAATTCAGCCGTGAGCTTTCTGCACGAAAGAGATTCTTTCCTGCAACGATGGGTGTGTAATCAACACATGACGTGTGAGGCACTCATATGAATGTGTAGGGATATTTGAATTTCATCCGGAATTTTTTTAAGGATATTAAGGAATCTCATATCTTATTCGTTCATCGCATAATGTGAGGTTAAAAATAATTTTAAATTTATTTTTGAGTTTAAACACAAATAATATTTACCCTAACTACACGATGGAAGATATAAATGTTGAAAATCAATGTCAAAGTTAGGCAAGGAAAGTTAGGCAATGTTAGGTATGGTTGAATAAAAATTATTAGGTGCAATTAATGTGTTTTGTGTGGTAATAAATAATCTTAGTTTAATCATTTGGTTTGCTATAAATACCTAAGTTCTCAAGCATTGTAAATCATCCAAGGAAAAACAAAGCCTAGAGCTAAATAAGAAAAGCTTTGCTAATTAGTTTGTTTTGTGAGCTTTCTTTAAAGAGTGTGTTCTATTTTCTTCTTCTTGTGATCATTAGAGTTATCTTGGATACTCTTCTTATTTAACAATTGGTATCAGAGCCAAGTCGGTCAGGGATCGTTCTTGGTAGAGCATTGGTTGTAAAGTCTCTTGAAATTCCGAGTATGCTCTGTGGTTGCAGTTTTGACTGATCTTCCACATCAGAAAAGGTTTCTTGAGATTATTGTTGGGGTTATCACAAACCTTGAGAGGGAGCTTCTTTGTGTCGAGAGTAGTGTATTACTCTGCACGGTAATCACTCAAGCTTGTTCGGTGTAGTCAAAGTCTTGCCGATACGATGGGTGATCTTCAAGTTGTTGGAGGAATCAAGAAGCTCAACAACCAAAACTATAACACGTGGGCAACGTGTATAGAGTCTTACCTTCAAGGTCAAGACTTGTGGGAGGTTGTCGGTGGTAATGAAGTTACACAACCGGCAGCGGAAGATGCTAACGGCATCTTGCGAAAATGGAAAATTAAAGCAGGCAAAGCGATGTTTGTTTTAAAGACCACAATTGAAGAAGAAATGTTGGAGCACATTCGGGATGCCAAAACGCCAAAGGAAGCATGGGACACTTTTGTTACACTCTTTTCGAAGAGGAACGATACAAAATTGCAACTTCTCGAGAATGAGCTGCTATCGATGGTACAACGCGACATGACGATTACCCAGTACTTTCACAAGGTGAAGTCGATATGCCGCGAAATTTCAGAATTAGATCCAACAGCTCCTATTGGGGAAACCAGGATGAAGAGAATAATTGTCCATGGTTTGAGACCCGAATATCGAGGGTTCATTGCCGCTGTACAAGGATGGCCGACCCAACCATCACTTGTTGAGTTCGAGAATTTGCTTGCCGATCAAGAAGCTTTGGCAAAGCAAATGGGAGGGGTCTCGTTAAAAGGTGAGGAGGAAGCGCTCTACACCAAAAGTAAAGGCAGCTTTAAGCAGCGTGCTGGTGGTGGATCTAAAAGAAATGGTGACAAGGAAAAAGGTCATCAAGGAGGAGGGAGTTCTCGGCCAGGGGGAGCTCCGAAGTATCACGGCAACCGTGGTCAGTCCCAGAATAATAAAAGATTTGAGGGCAAGTGTTACAATTGTGGAAAGAATGGTCACATGGCGAAGGATTGCTGGTTCAAAAGGCCTGCAGAAAGTAACGTCGCCAACTTAGAGAAGAAAAGTGAAGATGATTGGGATGTCATTGCGTCTCTAGCCCTGGAGGAAGAATGGGATGCAGAAGCATCATCTTGTTGGTGCTCAGAAAATGAGGCGTTGCCCGACCCAAAAGATTTAGAAGATACATTGCAAGGGAAACTGGGAGACCAAGCTGCCCAAATCCAATCAAGTCCAGATGAGCCTGAAGATTTGCTTGCTGGAGACGATGTCGAGCAAGAAGTACCTAAGAGTCCTTGGCAAACAGGTGTGTACCAACAATCACAAGAAGTTAGACCTAGTGAAGTGGAGGTATCAACTCCACAAGCACAACTAAGAAGGTCAACAAGAGTACGAAAGCCAAATCCTAAATATTCCAATGCTGCCATAACTGATGGAGCACCAAAAGAACATGAGGTGTTTGAAGAAGCATCACAAAGTTCTGAGTGGATGACAGCTATGAAAGAAGAGCTTGATGCACTTCAGCAAAATCAGACTTGGGATCTCGTGCCAAAGTCAAGAGATGTGAAACCCATATCCTGCAAATGGGTGTACAAGATAAAGCGTCGTCCTGATGGTTCAGTTGAAAGGTACAAGGCTCGGTTGGTGGCTCGAGACTTCTCTCAGCAATATGGACTAGACTATGATGAAACGTTTAGTCCAGTAGCAAAGCTTACAACCGTACGAGTCCTACTTGCACTTGCAGCTAACAAAAATTGGAATCTATACCAAATGGATGTGAAGAATGCTTTCTTGCATGGAGAGTTAGATCGGGAGATCTACATGATGCAGCCAATGGGCTTTGAAAGTAAAGTTCATCCCGAGTACGTGTGCAAGTTGAGGAAAGCACTCTACGGTCTAAAACAAGCACCCAGGGCGTGGTATGGTAAGATTGCTGAATTTCTAACACAAGGTGGTTATTCAGTAACACCTGCAGATTCCAGCTTGTTTGTCAAAGCCAATGAAGGAAAGCTAGCTATCGTGCTAGTGTATGTGGATGACTTGATCATAACCGGTGATGATGAGGCAGAAATTCTTCAGACGAAGGAGAATTTATCAGTCCGTTTCCAGATGAAGGAACTTGGCCAACTCAAGCACTTCCTTGGTCTAGAGGTTGATCGCACACAAGAAGGAATATTTCTCTGTCAACAGAAGTATTCCAAAGATTTATTGAAGAGGTTCGGAATGCTCGAATGCAAGCTGATCTCTACGCCGATGGAGCCAAATGTCAAAATGAGTGCACATGAAGGAAAAGATTTGGAAGATGCGACGATGTATCGACAATTGGTAGGTAGTCTGATCTACTTAACCTTGACTCGACCTGACATTTCTTATGCAGTTGGTGTGATGAGTCGGTACATGCAAAATCCAAAGAAGCTTCACTTGGAAGCAGTTCGACGAATACTGAGATATGTGAAGAGTACAATTGACTATGGTCTTTTGTACAAGAAAGGTGAAGACTGCAAGTTAGTTGGTTACTGTGATGCTGACTATGCGGGAGATCATGACACCAGGAGATCAACAACTGGGTATGTGTTTAAGCTTGGTTCTGGAACCATCTCTTGGTGTAGCAAGAGACAGCCAACGGTATCTTTGTCAACCACAGAAGCAGAGTATAGAGCAGCAGCAATGGCAGCTCAAGAGAATGCATGGCTGGTACAGCTGATGAGTGATCTACATCAACCAGTAGATTATCCAGTACCATTGTACTGTGATAACCAATCGGCCATTCGCTTGGCAGAAAATCCAGTCTTTCATGCAAGAACTAAACATGTGGAAGTGCACTACCACTTTATCAGAGAAAAGGTTCTACAAGAAGAGATTGAGATGAGACAAGTCAAGACGAATGATCAAGTTGCGGACTTGTTCACAAAAAGTTTAAGTACAGGCAAGCTCGAAAATTTTCGCTGTCTGCTCAGCACAGTGCAAAGAATGAGAGCTGACATTGAGGGGGAGTGTTGAAAATCAATGTCAAAGTTAGGCAAGGAAAGTTAGGCAATGTTAGGTATGGTTGAATAAAAATTATTAGGTGCAATTAATGTGTTTTGTGTGGTAATAAATAATCTTAGTTTAATCATTTGGTTTGCTATAAATACCTAAGTTCTCAAGCATTGTAAATCATCCAAGGAAAAACAAAGCCTAGAGCTAAATAAGAAAAGCTTTGCTAATTAGTTTGTTTTGTGAGCTTTCTTTAAAGAGTGTGTTCTATTTTCTTCTTCTTGTGATCATTAGAGTTATCTTGGATACTCTTCTTATTTAACAATAAACAGATAAAATGTGAGGATTCTAGGATCCTCATCCTCATCCATATGCTGGTATATAGCTGGTTGTGCTTACTATTTCAGCAAATTGCCTTGCAAAAAGGTTGGTGATGCAAATTTAATGATTCTATAAGCCGGTGGATTGTCTTGGTGAAAATCATTTTCTTCGTCCTGTCGCATCCGGCTTCGAACAAACCCTCTTCTTAGAATGCATCAATATTGCTAGTCTAGTGATAGAACCAGAGCACCCATGGATCCTGCAATGCATCCCAACCTCTTCACTTCTTCTTCAAAAATAAAAAATAAAAACCAAAAACCCATGTTAGACAACCACTACTACTACTTGAGTTTCTACTTCTTTGTTGCATTCTCTACTGTATTTGGCAATAGCAGGCTCTCTTACATGGTGGTGTCTTCTGCTGTGGAACTCAATAGCCGCGGCCGCCTCAGGTGCTGATGATGATCACCCTACGGACAGTGGGGATTTCGATTTGGGTACTATATACATGAAGAGATGAAGAGAAAGTTCTG